GTAAACAATTAAAGGAACATAGAAACAATAACTGATCAGTACAAAGCCAGTTTTGAGGTAAGACATGTGGGTTGCTTGAGATGTACAATTGTGGGAAAACTGTTTGCATCAACTTTTTTGTTTGACTGGGTTTCTGATCAACCTAACCTAGGTCCTTAGTTAAGGGTCTCTAAGCAGCAGGTAGAGGTGGTCCAGTTTCCTAGTCATGTAGGGCTAGGTTCAAATAATATGGTAAGGTTTTCTCACAATTGAATGTACTTTTCTTATAATACAGAAATTGAACTAGATCCATAAATGAATAGAAAAAGAATTGAGTTAGCTCCAGAACTGAGTCACAAGGTAGAGTCAGTGTGGTTCACTCAATTCCCACAATTAACTACTTGCTGTCTTAATTCCCTCAGTATCCTGATTTCTTTTCTGAAACTTCTCTTCTTCAACCCCTATTGACTGATCTCCTTGGCTAGAAATCATTTATATGACATTCCCAAGCCTTCCTATTTTTCTGTATATCCAGATTTCTTGATGAGAGTGGACTGGAAGTCATCCTTTTCATATTCACCAGCCATAACATATAAGATGCCATGACTCTTTCATCCCAATGCATCTATTTTCAGTTCTTGTCCAGGTTCTCTATACCTGTTTTTGGTTCTTGGCTACTTTCCAATACCACCAGCGAGGGCAACATCATTTCAGTCAATGTCAGAGTTGTGTGTAGTCAGTGTATTTAGGCAGAGAAGGCAATTCAACCATAATTATGAGAGAAATGATTATTTCTCTCTCAAATTAATAATAAATTATTGAATTAGGACCAGGATTTTTTCAGGCGTATGTAGGTCGTTAAGTCTCTAAAGGACATTGCTGATGGATGAGATTGCCAAAATCCTTGGAGTACATGCCTTTTGGGGTACATGCTTGTTGATCCTGGATAAGAGACTCCATCCAACTAGAGAACATTACAGAGAATTTAATCTAAGGTGAATTCTGGACCATTGTGTTCCATGTAGGCAGGCTAGATGGCCTGAGGCTGGGAGTAATATGACTTAAGATAGTCTCTCTTTGTCCAATCAGTCACATTCCCCAGCCCTTCATTAGACTAGGTCTACATCTCATTATAATATTCATTCTCTCATTACTTGTTAACCAGTCAGAATTGATTGCTACCCTCAGGGTAGCATACCCTCAGGTATGCCTATCAGGGCATTTAAACATTGAATGGGTTCCATGAGGACTCTTTGGCATTTGTGAGTGCCACATATCCCTTTTATTATATGCTAACAGGATTAATAAAGTGATTACTTACTCAGAAACTATGTCTCTTGAACTTTTTATACATCACAGCTAGTATATAAGACCCTGACCCATTTAATAATGCTAGTATCCTCTTAGGTTGGTCCTTTGGGCAGCAGGCTCAAGAGGATGGCAATCAACTCTGATTGGTTAACAATTAATGAGAGAATGAATACTACAATGAGGGGCTGAATCTGAATTTTGATTATATCACCCACTTCTAAATTACGCCCCCCCAATTGCCTTGGGCAATCTATTCAAAGAATTTATCCCCACCCAAACCTTAGTAGAACACAATGACTGCTCCACCTGGGTGGGGTCTAGATAGAGGAGAAGGTTAGTTCAACCTTCAGAGACTACAGTCTTGAAATGAGGATTAAGAAAAGGGAGAAATATGAATCTTCCCAAATCACTGATTATTAATAATCATTTCTCTCATTTGATATAGTGAAGCAGCCTGACTACTGCTATAAAATCCTCAGTGCTGGGTCTCATTGGGTGTGTTCTTTGCCCTGCTGGGGCAAAGAGAACTTGGGAACCAAGGAAACTCTAGTTTGTGGTGGAGGTGTCCAATATGAGCACTTGGTGTATCTGTGATTCTTTCAGTTCCTTACTATAGTACATTAAGGTAAAAACTCTTGAGAGTACCCTAAGTACTTGATGGAATTTGTCTTCATATGGATCTGATCAAGGGGTCTTTAAACTGATTGCTTTATTTGGCCTCATGGCTTGGGTTAAAGCTAAAACCTAGATTTGGGAATTTCCAGGAAATTGGTACTTGGGAAGTTGATACAAACAAGAGCTTTATTACTATGCAGCAAGCACAGCAGATACATGCACAATACAGCAGTATCAACAGAAAGGAGTTCATTCCCACAGATGTAAGAAACCCACCCAATATGAAGGGGAGGAAGATGTGTCAGGGAAGAAATGTGCTCAAAGTTAGGGGTTACGTGGTGAAATTATATACCCAAAGAATGGGCTTGGTTGAGAACAGGTAATTGGTGCCAGATGCAGGACAGAGTATTTCTAATCAGACTCAGATGTATTAGAGAAGTTCCCAGGGTTCCTTGTTGGGGCCAGGCTTGGATAGGAAGAGTTTCTTTATTGAGGACCACAGACTAAGTTAGCTATCTAAGGCAGCAGCAGAAGACTAACTCAGGACCCCTGTACCAGGTTAAGAGTTTCATCCAATCAAAAGCTATGAGGATCATTTACCTGATTCAGAGTTAACATAGATCAAAACAGTGGAAAAGTACAAACATGTCTTTCTTATTTGCTTTTATAGACATTCAGACCACTTAGCCCAAGGTAGTCCTTATTGGGGTCCTATTACTATAACATCAATCTATAACTATAATATCAACCAATATAAAGCTTACAATGATCACACTGATCCATGGAGCTTAGATGGAAAAAGCTGCCCATGTTCAGCAACTAGGATGTCCTGTATTCAAGAGGAGCATATTCAATAAAGAAGGATGTGGAATACTTTTACATATATGGAAGATATATTAATACACAGAAATCCTCAAACCTTAAAATGCATTTACATGATAGTTACTATTATCATAATCACCACGGGTCTTTATGTTAATTTAGCTACCTTATCAACTCCAAGGTTCCTTCTAGCTTTAAATTTATGATCTTGTCAATATTCTCCTTGCTAAAAAAAAAAAATTATATAACAACAATTATATTATCACAGCTAGGTGGTACCACGGATAGAGCACTAGACCTGAATTCAAATCCTACCTCACAAACTTACTAGCTGTGTGACCCTGGCAAGTCACTTAACCTCTGTCTACCTCAGTTTCCTCATCTGTAAAATAGGAGTAATAGTAGGACCTACCTCACTGAGTGCTGTGAGGACAAAATGAGATAATATTTGAAGGAGTGTTGCAAACCTTAAAGTGCTGTATTAATGTTAATTTTAATATTATTATTATAAAAATAAAAGGCAATTACAAGATTAATAAATAATGTGAAACTTGATTCAATGCCAAAACATTATACGTTGTTGTAAGACAACATGGAGAATAGAACAAAACCAAAAGGAGTAATTTCTACATGATGTGTCATGTAGCTCTTAAATATGGAGAAGAAAAAGTCTCTTAGTGTAGTCTATGATATTAATGGGAAACAACACAATGTAGTGGAGAAGAATGCTGGAATTAGAGTTATGAAAGTCCTGCTTCCAATGTCCACCAGCTGTGTGGCCACAGAGAAGTAATCCAACCTCTCCAAGACTCTGGCTATCTATCTGCAAAATGGGGACAAGAATTGGCACAGTCTTGGTCCAGGGTGCCTACATCCAAGAGTTAGGGGAGAGGATGCTTCCTATCCATACTTACTACTGTATTCATGCTTCACTTCACATACTTCTGCTTCCATGTTGTGTCCTCTGACCTTCACCCCAAGGGTCTTCCCTCTTCTCCAAGTTCACCTTCCCTCCCTACTCACTCAGGGGTTCAGGCAATGGAGATGGGCCACCTCATCTTCTGGTATGTCTGTGCCTGTGGTCAGTACATAATCTGGAATACTGTGTTCTGGCTGTGGGGCCAAATTTTAGGAAGGCAGCCATCATCATGAGGAAGGGAAAGGGACTTGGGTTTATGCCTTGTAGGTATCAGCAGAAGGAATTATGTGTGGTTAGCTTTGTAAAGAAAAGACTCAGGGGTATATCATAGTTGTCTTCTATTTGAAGGACTATCAGAAGAAAGATGGATCAGGCTTATGCTGTTTGGCTCAAGAGGGCAGAAGCAGGAGTAAAGTTTGGGAGTCACAAAAAGCAAAATCCACACTTGATGTCAAGAAATCTCCCAACAATGAAAACTATCCAAACACGAAATTCCTCATTCAGGAGGTAGTGGGCTCCCTGTCGCTGGAAGTATTCAAGTAAAAACAAGATGACCTGTTGTTGAAGATTTTATATACAGAAGTCTCAGTCAGGTATGATTTGAACTAGATGGCTCCTGAGATCTTGGAGATTCTGTGAAGTCCTTACAGATCTGTAAATTCACCCCAGCTCCTCATCTTTTGCCTTTGTCTTATTATTATCTTTTACCCTCATCATCCTACAATCCCAAGAGAGGCTTAAAAAGAGCATTATATGAAAAGACCTTGAATAAATTTCTGATGGGATAACAGTATCAACCTTTTTGTTCCTCAGTTTCCCCATTTGTAAAATGAATGGATTAGTATCAATTATATCTAAAGGCTCTTCAACATCTAAACCTTCGATGCTATTATGCTAATTTTACAAACGGATAAACCAAAGTTCAAGTGACTTGCCCAGGGAGGAAGTGTCAAGCCAAGATTAAGCTAAATGATCTTCAAGGGCCCTTCTAGATCCAACGTCCCAGGAATCAAACAGGGGGTCACCCACAATATCCTAGGAATCAAACAGGGGTCCCAGTTTGGGGGTACATAGTACCACTGTATGTTCCACATTAAATGAAAATGTTTGGACTTAAGTATTGGACTTGGTGGCAGGAAGACCTAAGTCTGAACCCTATCTCAGATTCTTACCAATTGTGGAACCCTAAGCAATCTACTTAATCACTCTGAGATAGTCTTCAGGTGAAAATGGGAATAATAATAATAACAGAATCAGCTCCCAGGTTGTGAAGATCAAATGAGATATTTGTCAAGAGCTTTGCAAACCTTAAAGCAATATAGAAATGTGAATACATAATCATCATCATCAATATTATTGTTATAGTTGTTGTTGTTATTGTGATTGTTGTCATTGTTAGGAGGTAGATGGACTTTGACAGCCCCAGCACTAGATGGAGGCAAGAGAACATTCACAGCTGAAAAACTCCATTGATGGTTAGGATCATGGTGGAGGTGAAAGTTAGCCTTAGGGATGCCAATCATGACCCATTCACCTCTGCAGGGGAGAGCTCTCTAGGAAGGGAGAGTGTAGACAGCCTGCTTGTCTCCCACATTCTTCTATTGCAGAGGAATTTCAGGAGGGGAGGGCGAAGGTCCTTCCAGATGACTGCTCATTCCTGTGGAAAAAAAGATTACTGGGTTAAACCCCCGTTAGCTCTCCATGGCCCCTCTTGGCACCCTCATGCTGAGGGGAGAAATGGGGAGAGGAGTAACACCTAGCTCCTAGAATCTCACTCAAACACATGGCTTTGTGCCCTTGGCCCCACCCCAAAGATTCTCTTTTCTTTTGTGATTCCCCTTCTTACCTGCACCACTTTTGTACCTTGGATGGGGCCAGTGTTGCCTCTCCCTAAAATGCATTCCCTGTTCATATACTTTTTTCAAAACAAATGAAAAGCACCATAGTTGACCTTCAGTCTTTGTGGGATCTTAAGAGGTCGTCTCATTCTACTTTTGGACAGCTCCTGCCTCTGGGTTAGAGCATATCTGGTCTTAATTCAAAGGTGCCTAATTAGACCATCTTCCTGATTTGAAATAGCCTATTTTGTTCTGTTCTCTGGCCTACCCTGAAAACCTCAAGACATTTCTATAAAAGAACCCTTACCTCCCAGATCCATCTGTGTGATACTATGAATACTGCTTTTGGGTCCAACCTGTGATTTCATCAGGGAACTCCCCGTGGGGAATCTCTCTTTACTAATGCAGTTTGATGACTCTTTTTGCAACTGATAGCTTTAGCAAGTTGCCCGTAGCATTAAGAGGTTAAATTATTTGCCCAAGATTATTCTGCCAGTGTGTGTCAGAGACCCAGGCCATCCTGAATAAAAGCTTGGTTCTTTAGCCACTATACCCCATTGCCTCTTACTTACTACTTGACTCTCTCATAGAAGGGAAGTTGAAGGAACTAGACACATTTACTCTAGAGAAGAGATGATTCAGGGGAACATGGCTACTGTCGTCAAGTATTGGAAAGATTATCATATGGAGGAGAGATTAGGTTTTTCCCCCCTGTTTGGCATCACATGGCAGAAGCAGAAACAATGGGTGGAAATTGTAAAGGAGAAAATTTAGACTTGATGTCTGGGGAAAAAAATCTTCCTAATAATGAGAGCTGTCCAAAAGTAGACTGGGCTGCCTCAGGACAGTGGATTCCCTTCTTTGGGGGAAGTTAAGCTAGATATGGATGAACAGTTGTGTAAATTATAATGAGGATTCCTTTTGTGTGGGGGTGGTTTTAAAGGCCGATGAAGTTCCCTCCAGTTCTCAAATGATGTGATTCTGGGATTTTGTTGCTAGCAGGCACTTAAAAAATCCATAGTTTTGTCACTGTGTGCCCACCCTTCCTTCATCAAACACAATGAATCCCTTCCATATCTTAGTAGATAACCTTCAAAAGTTGCTATGATTGGAGAACTGCACAGCCAATCACTGGGATTTAATTTGGCTGGAGATGGCTGTCCAACTTTGTAGGAGCTTCAGCACTACTGACATAACCTTTGGGAAGCTGGGATGACCATTATGCTACACTGAGGAATTGGAGAAGGAATTTTGTGTAGTAGTAGTAGTAGTAGTAGTAGTAGTAGTAGTAGTAGTAGTAACAATTACTTAATTCAATTTAATTCAATTCAACAAGCATTGATGAAGCACCCACAAAACTTCAGGCACTGGGACCTGGGATCTCATTAATTATTATTAAATTAAATTAAAGTTCCCTCCTATAATGCTGATTACAACCTATCCATGCCAGTCCAATAATGTGATTGTCCATATCCTCCCACAAATTCACCAATAGCGAGCCTCCCCAACATGTTGGGGACCTTCCTTGATTTTCCTGATATTGGGAGAATAGCAGTGGAGAACCTGGGCTGTCCACATGCCATCCCTCACCCTTTGCATGTGACACTCTTTTTCTATCATATGTTTCTCTGATAACAGCATTTCCTCTTCCTCTTAGAAGACCCTCAAAGGAAACTGCTCTATTACTCTCTCTCTGTGATATTGATTTTCTGTTCTCTGGAGCTAGTTTTGTTCCATGTTTCACAGCTGCACAAGAGTAGCAGAATACTGCTATGAAAATGGTGGGATTTTGTTTCTGAGAGACATTCAGGGTCATTAAAGGAGATCTGAAATTCTTTGAGGCCAATTGAGCTGACTCTGCTCCTGGTTAATTCTTGGCCCAACTTGTTCATTTGCACTGAGTGTCCCAGGTAGACTTATCTGATGGACCACCTCTTTGAATGCTCTTCCAACAAAATACCACAATCTAGCAATAAACATTCTTTATCCACTTGATCTTTTTTGTGTGGGTGGGCAAGTCAGCTTTCTTTGAGTGGTTGTGGATCTCTTCCATCATGTCCTGGGCAATCAGCACAATGTCATCCATAAAAAGCATTCAGAGCACCTCACCAACTATAGGGGATCTCTCTTCAACTTGAACTCTACTCTGAACCCCCTCCATTATAACAGCAAACTTTAATAAGTACACAGGTCCTTGTTTTATATGTTGAATGAATGAGTAATCGAAAAAAGTACTTGTTAACCACTCACTGTGTGCCAAGCTCTAAGTGCTAGGGAGACAAAAATGAACAAGCAAGACATTCCCTGTCACTCTAATAGGGAAAGACAACACATAAGGGAACTAGAGTTCAAATATGGGGGAGGTGGATTGGAAAGGGCAGGAATGTGGTATGGTGACCTGGATCTGAACAAGATAAAGTGAAAACTGATCAGAGCCCAGGGTCTTAGAGGCAGGGTCCTCTAGTGGAAGGAGATGGAGGACCAGAGCACAGACTTAGAAATATCAAATGTTTATAATCAAAGGGTTGATATATAGATGGGAGATACCTTGTTGGAATGTATAGATGGGAGACACCTTGTTGGAAGAGAGCACTGTCTTACTCTACTCAATAAAAAATTATTCATAGCCAACAAACTATAAGCAGAGGGGGATCTTGTATTCTCTAGATCTCAGTTTCTTCATCAGTAAAATAAGAGGATTGGGTGGTATGGCCCTTGGGCTTCTTTCCAGTTATAGAGCTGTGGTCCTAAGTCTGTGGTCTGAGTGTACATAAATAACTAATCAGGAGTTTGCTGGTAAATATTTAATCACTGGCTCTCCATAACTCTTCACACTTTAAATTTTAATGTGCATAATTAACATTTTCTTCATCACTTTCTTAAGTTTAGATAATCAACAAATCAATAAATCAACTCCTAATTCATAACATTTGCCATTTTCCAAGGTGTAGATTTTCACACTGAAAATTTAACAATTGGTTCTTGGGAACCAGTAGCAGGGTGGGATAATTCCAACATCAATAATGAGCCTTTTTCTTTCTGTTGTAATAATAATTATTACAGTTACATTTCTATAATAGTGTTAAGGTTATTAAGGCCCTTTCCACGTAATAACCCTATGAGGTTGCTAGGATACCAAGGCCTCTCAGGATCTCTCTTCCCTGTTCCTTTCCCTCTCTTCACACTTACACACCTGTCTTCCTTTTCTTCCATGTGATGAAGGTTCCAGCACAACTCAGCACCAGGATGATGACTGCCGTAATGCTCAGCACCATGGCCCAAGGCCTCTCCGTAGATGGCTTCCCAGGGACTTCAGGAATAAAGGACAACATAATCAGAGGTGAGAATTTCCCCACAAGGCAATGGGGAGTGTGGTGAATGGGAAGACAGGGGGAGGAAACTCCAAGAACTATCCTCCTTGGGATGAATTCAACTAATGTGGATGAGGTACTCACCTGGGAATATGCCTGGTGTTTCCAGCTCTCTGTGCTCTACCACGCAGGTGTAACCTGTCCCAGGGTCATTGAGTGGGAGCTCTAGTGTGACTTGGAGGTAGAAGGTGGCATCAGCATTGGGCAGGGTGCCACTGGAGCTCTCCTGCCCCCACACACCCAGTGCTCCATCCCTTTCCCAGTGAAGCATGATGGAGCGGGGGTAGAAGCCAGTGGCCCTGCAGAAGAGGGTGACTCTGCCATCAGGAGCATCATGTCGGGACACAGTCACATCAGGGGGAACTGATGGCAGAGAGTGAGAGAGAAGGGGTCAAGTCCAAAGCTCAGTGGTAATCTGCTCTTCACCTCACATTCATCTTGCTGCCAACTATTACCCTATTCTGTACCCCCCCGTGCTCATATAAGTATCTGGGCTGATGGGAGGAGCCTCAGATAATTTGGTACCAGATTTGGGGCTGTTTCTACACAGCATTATCACAAACTTGCCCTGTTGGAACAACATTTAATAACAATAGGTCAAGATTCTATGTGGCTTTAAAGTTTGCACAGTATGTTATTAGACACTATCTTGTTTGAGTCTCATGGCAGCCTGATAAAGAAAGTATTGTAGGCTTTTTTGCCTGGTCCAGCAGGATGGGGAAGTAAATAGAGGGCAGGGTCAGAAAAAACAGTATGGCTGGGTGACCTGGGCAAGTCCCTTAACTTCTGAACGCTCTGGCAACCCTCTGAGACTGGAAGTTGTAAAGAAGGTGCTGACCTACATTGGAAGAGAGATTTTCCTCCTTTAGAAATTGCCCATCCCAATGAACTCATAGGTCTGGATTCTAACACCATCCAGTCTAGGGAATACTCACTATGGAAGCTCCCTCTGTTGATGAAGAGAGTTGCCTGGAGATACTGAGAGATGATTTCCCCAGGGTGGCCCAGATAATGACTCGACCTGTAGGTGGGACCACAACCCAAGCCTCCCTATTCTTGTGCTATTTCTGCCTCTCAGAGGGAACACAGAGTTGGCCTCAAACCTTCTAGTTTGAGTTCTCCTCGTTCTCACCTGTTCTTAGTCCCCAAACAGAAACTATGAATTCTTACCATTTTCTCTCATGCTTGAATACTGTAGAATTTTCTTCATGCCATCGATACAATCTTCTTGTACATAGTGTTCCACTAGTTTGTTCCAGAAGGCATTGTCCCAGAGGGGCTTGAAGCGCTGGGCCTCAGGCTTCATGGCCACCCAGTGCCCCAGTTGCTCATCCAACCGGCAGAAGTCTTCACCATCCAAAGCAAACTGGAAGTGCTTGCTCACCTGGATATCCTTGTCCAGTGCACAGTCTACGAAAACTTGCAGTGTGTGGTTTTCTGTCGGGGGCAGAATATGGGTTGGAGTATTCTAGATGCAAGGAGTTCAGAGAGGCAGAGCAGGAAGGTTCTGGGAGGAAGACCAGGATTCATAGGTCCAACAATCCAAAAGGTGGAATTTTGTTGACTTTGGAGGTGGCTTATAAAGTTGGAATAAATTTTGATCGATGAGGTGATAGAAACATGTTACTTGCTTAATTCCTTATTTATCAATTAAGGGATAAGGCAATATCTAATTTGTGAAATATAACAGAGAAACACATGATTTCATCAGCCATCTTATTGGCTGGAATTGTAGAATGAGGGAATGTGCTCAATCCAATAGGCCCAGGTAAGCAACCCAAGAAACTTAGGACCTGGAAAATGACAGTGCCTCAAGGTCCTCAAATTAGTAGTGATAGATGAAGAGGAGAGACAATTAGGGATTAGTGTGGCATATTTTTCTACTCATGGACAAAGGAATGTCTACAGCTCAGTAATCAAGGTATATTTGAAAACTGGGAACAAAAGCTGGCTCCAAGGAGAGGAATTAGTGCCCTTTGAAACCTAGGCAATAAGGTAGTGCATGCAGTATAGTAGAAAAGATGCTAAATTTGGTGCCAGAGCTGGGTTCCTTCTCATCATGGTTCTGCTACATAATAACTGCATATGCTTGGGTAAGACATTTTCTTCGTCAAGGTTTCTTCCTCCATTAAATGAGGGAGTTGGGCTAAATGGCCTCTGAGGCCCCTTCCATAGACCCTAGGTCTATGATCCTATGATCTGGGCAAGTAGCTTAAACTCCCTGGGCCTCAGTTTTCTCCTGAGGAAGCTGGGCTAGATGGTCTCTGTGGTCCTCCTAACTCCAAATCTATAAGCCCAAGACCTATCCTGCATAGGTTGTCTGGCATACCCGGTGTGGTCTCTGTCTCTAGATGCCCAACTCAATGATATGGTTTCATGGAGAGGGGCCGATCGGACTCAGAGGAGGTTGATCAAGAGGGGAGGTATATATACGTTGGGGTTGAGTGGGACTGACTTACTCTCACTGTTGGTCTCGTTCTTTATGAAATTCTTGAAGGCCCAGATGAAACTTTTCTCAAGGCTTATCAGCTTCTTCTGTTTCTGTTCAATCTCTTTGGCTCCTAGGGCCTGGTACATCCAGGGTTTCTTCATCACAACTTGTTGGTTCTGTTTGTTGTAGTAGCATAGCTGAACATCATCCACAGAGCTGATCACGGTGAGGCTCAAGAGGGACCTTCTTGTGCCAATTGCAGTGAAATGGAAGTCATGGCTGTGGTAGGCTGAGAGAAAGGAGGGAAGGTAGGAAGAATGGGCATCCTGGGGGAGGGCCTCAGAACCCCAGTGCCTCCTCCCACCCAGCTTTCACCATTGGTGCAATAAATTGGGCTGGTATGGGAATGTGCCTGTTCCACAAGTTGGTCTGAAGGGGCAGAGTAGTACATAGTCATTTTAGTGAATACTAAAGCTAATAGCATAGCTTAATGAGAACATCTTGTTAACTCAGGCATTCACTGAGAGGCTACACCTTGCACTTTGTCATTTGGGACTCTTGTCTCAGAGTATAGGGAAGTTTCGTGAGGAGTAGGGATGGTTAGGGACTTCCCATCTCTGGGCCTTTGCATTAGAACTAGATATTCCCCATGCCTGGAATGATTTCCCTTCTTACCTTCATCTCTTAGAATCCTAGGCTTTCTTCAAGACTCAGCTCAAATATCATCTTCTTCAATCAAAGGGATCCTTTCCCCGCAGCCTCCTACCCCTCCCCCCTCCCCCCATGCTAATGCTTTTTTCTCAAGGTTATTTTTAATCTCCTCTGCATGTACCTTGCATAGATCTGGTGATATACATGTTTGCTCACCCATTGGAATATGGTTTCTGTGAGAGGAGGGATGTTGTCTGCCCTTTGTTTCCCCAGTATTTAGCATGATGGAAGGCACCTTGGTGTGATGGAAAGATCGTTGAAATCAGAATCAATCACTTAAGTTGGAATCCCAAATTTTCTTGCTATGAGCAAGTTACTTGATGTATCTGGGGTTCAGTTTTCTCATCTATAAAACAAGGGGACTGGTAAAAAAAAACAGTGCCCCAGACAGGAAAGGAAGCTGTGGACTGGGAAAATATCTTTGAGGAGGGTTTTATATCCAATGTATAAATGGAACTAAGATGACCAATAGCCATTTGCTAATAGATGAGGGATCAAGGGATGTGAATAAACAATTCTTAAAAGAATAATTGCAAACTTTTAACAATCCAATGTAAGATAAGTCCACATGACCAGTAATAAGAGAAATGCAAATCAAAACAACACTGTAATTTCAGCTCATGTTCAGCAAATTGTGAAAGATGACAAAAGATGGGAATCATCAATGTTGGAGGGGCTGTGGAAAAACAGGCACACCTCCGCATTGTTGGTGGAGTTCTGAATTTGTTCATCCATTATGGAAAGCAATTTTGAATTATACTATTTATAAACTAATTATATCCAGAGGTACTACTGTTGGGTGCATCCCAAAGAGGTTTAAAAAAATCAGAAAGAAAGGCCCAATGATATCATTATGCTAAGCTTCTATTTACTATCATTCTTTGAAGCTCTCACCCAAGTGAGAAGTCCTCAATGTTGGCCCCAGAAAATGTGGCAAGGCCAGAGTTTCTTGAATTTCCCTAGAAGCTTTTCTCAATTTTCACTTCTTGGGATAGGGTTACTCTTGCTAGCTGCCATATCTGTCTCCCAAGGAACCATGGGAACATGTTTAACTCTTTCATGCCCTGACTGCCTCAGTTCCATACCCTCTAGCTATGAATGAAGCACAAGCACATTCTCCAATGTGAAATACCTCTCCAAATAGCTACCATTGCCTGGGGTCACCACCATAGGTGTGCATTGCACATTTAGTTAAAGTGTACCCAAAGAATTTTATATTTCTTTTTGGAGACAAAGATTTATTGACTACTCAAATATAAGGATAGGTATTGAGATTAGAGCTGTGATTTCATTGGCATAGGGAACTCTTCTACTCCCTTTACTAATTCAATTTATAGTCTCAGAGAGTTGCTAAGAACACAGAGAGGTAAAAAGACTTGCCATCAGTCAGTTAGTCAATATACATTTATTAAGCATCTACTACGTGCCCAGGGCTATGGAACCAGAACGCATTAGATGTGAGGCTTGAAGCCAGGTCTTCCCGGCTCTGAGGCCAGCTCTGTATCCACTATGCCCACAGCTTCTCAAACATAAAGGACAATGTTTTTATTCATCAAACTAAAGAAATTAGAATTTTACAAAACAACTTTACAAAAGTACCCAGAATCATACAGAATTTGGGAGTTGGTAGGGACCTTGGTGATCATCTCATCTACCCCATAAATAAAAGGAAAGGCCACAATCACACTTGACAAATGGTGACACAGATTCTGCTTGAAGACCCCCAGGGAAGGTGTCCATCATTTGTCCAAGCAGCTCCTACCCCTTTGGAATGGCCCTTCCCCTTAGGAAGTTCGCCCTGACACTAAGTCTCTTTGCATCTCCCACCCATTGCTATTTCTGGGTCCACATTGGTAATAATTTAAGATCGATTGAGCCCCAATAAGGGCCAAAAACCTGAATTAATATTTTCTCTCTGAGTGAACTAAAAATGCCCCTTTCTGTGTCAGCAACTTCGGGACCAGCTGAAACTGACCAGCATTCTTCCTCTTTGTGATAACTAAGGACACAATACCTGGGACCAGACACTCTCTTGAATGGTGGGACTTTTCTTATATTGGTATCCTATGGACATATGTTATGTAGAGAAAACATAGATATCCTGGATCTATAATTTCAATTGACACTTTGACATTCTCCTATTTTATTGTGTTTACAACCTATTCAACTAAGAAACTTCCTTTCTCATGCTAGAAAAACATATGGAGGCTGTATTTTGTTTTTTTTTTTTTTTTTTTTTGAGTAACACAGACTTCCTGAGTCAGGGTTTAAATGTCCTCCTAAAATTGCTTGAGTCAGTCAGAGTTAAACCTCTGGCTCCATGTACATGTTGCTAACTTAAGGGAATAAACAATATGAATTTTCTTATCACCTAGTTTGTTGCCTCTTTAACCAACTTTCAGGTCGACAACATAGGGCAATCCTTTCATACGACAGTTCTCCAGATGCGGTTATTATGCCCTTTGGAATGTTTTCTTCTTAAGGCTGAACATCCTGATTTCCTTCAGTTCATCCTCATGTGATAAACTCATAGTTATAGCTCTGTCCTTAAACTCTCTGGTTATGTCCCTGTTCATATGCCTTTGTGTCTGTGTCTTATCTCAGAGTTTCATAGTGGGAAGGAACCTCAGAATTCTGATCCAATTTGTCCAATATGAACCTGAGAAAGAACTCCCCTTACAGCATGCCTGACTAGTGGCCATCTTGATTTCATTTGAAGACCTCCAAAGAGGAAGGAAGCAAGCCTTTATAAAGTATGTGCTAGGCACAGTGCTAAGTAATGTGCAAATATCTGCTCATTTGATCCTCACAGCAACCCTAGCAGGTGTGTCTTATTATTATCTCCATTTTATAGTTGAGCAAACTGACTCAGTCAGTGGTTAAGTAACTTGCCCAGGGTCACCTGGGTCAGTAAGTGTTGAAGGCTGGATTTGAACTCAGGTCTTTCTCCATCTAGTCTCAGCACTGTTTCCACCATGCCATCTAGCTCCCTGTCAGCTTTGGAAGCAGAAGAACTAAGTGGGAACCTTCATGACTGCTTGTAACTGCCTGAGCTCCTTTCCCCCAGGGTAAAAAGAAAAAGTGGGAGGGATCAGGGACTTGACTCCGGATGGGGAAATGAGAAAGTGGTGTTTCTAGGAAAGTCTGTTTAAGACAGTACCCTTTTATGTAGAAGAGGACTATTCTTTGCCATTTATTTTTGCCCGACTATTCATTAAATGAAAGAATAGAATTAGATAGAATAGAATCTTTTGAATAGAAATCAGTGTGGAAGAAAAACTTTGGTTGGGCTCAGAACTGGATTTTTGACACTAAGTGTGATATAGACCTAGGTTCAGGGATCTAGCTTTCAAGAGGAATTATAACTTTCATTTCTTTAGGCAACGCTTAAATGCCCGAATCTTGTAACTCTACTAGTCTTGGGGCCTCTTGAGGACGGGCACTGTGTCTCCCTCATGGAAAAAGAGCTTCCTAAAGGCAGACTGTGTCTCCTCCCCCAATCCTAGGTAGTACATCTATGGCCTTGGGAAGTCTCTTAACTTACCTAGATCTATCTTTCCTAATGTGTAAAATGAGAGAGTTGGACCACATGGCCTCTGGGGTCCCTTCCAGCTCTAAAATTATGAGCCTTCCTGCTGTTTCACCAGACTCACCTGCCTGGGTGATCCTCACAGCAAAGCATCCTAGAATGAGCATCCAAGTGAACAATGACTTCTCCCTCTTCTCACTTGCCATCTTGTTCTGAAGACACACTATGTGGCATCCTCAACAGCCCATCCAGAATAGACACGCTTTAGGCCCCACGTTTTTACCTTTTGCAGAGCCCGAATGGGAAAAGATGCCTCTATATACACATAGTGGCCCCTATGCCTCATTCTCTCTTCCCCTATGATTGGATCTATCAAGTTCATTTTATCCTGTCATTGTTGGTTGGGGCATCTGTTGCCAGGTAGAGCTTGTCTCAGAATAAAGGGCATCAGAACAGAAGTGAAATGAAGACTGTGGGGAGGACAGGAAACCTTTGAGCATAATCACCATCTGATGTCAGAGCAGGAATTGGCCCAATGCCAAACATGTGGGTGGCATTCATGAGTGTTAGCTTAATGTTAGTGTTAGAACTGAGTGTGGAATCCGATGGAGAAGACATCAACTCATGACCTACTTTTTTAGGGGAGACAGTCCTTGCCCTCAGGGAGCCCCTAGTCTTATAGAGAAGAAATAGCACCTACCTTGAGATGGCCCTATTTTGATAGTGGGAACCATTGTTACACTTGTTAGTCTCTTGAACCTAAAGCAGAGGAGCACCTTGATGGTTGGAGAGGTTGGGTGCACTTGCCCCAAAGGCTCAGTTCCACTCTGCACTCTCCCATTATAATGTCACCCCACTTGGATGGAGACAGTGGTATGAAATGATGGAAAGAGCGCTAGACCCAGAGTCAGAAAACTTGAGTTTGGATCCTCCATCATACATTTATAAACCTC